TTAGCCAGGTCCACCGAGTTTTTGTTGGGCCAGTTCTTGATGGCATTGAAAATAGACGTTACCACTGAAAGAGGTAGAGTAATGAGTAGAGTAAATAAAAACCAATAAGGAAAATGATTCTTGCAGCTTACTTTTCTTTTCCTCCGCTGACATGAGCATGGCCAAAATAGTAAACTCGTCATTTTTGCTGACCTCTAGGAGGACAGCCGCCGTGGTTGGCTCCTTATTTGGTACATAGTAGTCCTGAACAGTGTGCAGCAAGTCCGCAAACGTCTCCGAATCAAAGCCTGCTCCCAGGATCTTACACAGGCTCGACACTTCAATGGACTTTAAATACAAGTATTTCTGAGGAGCACTTAGCTCCTTCCAGGTGACATGGAACTGGGCTGTGCCTGTGGGGGCAGGCGGTAAGGCGCGCTGAAAATATAGGTTTAGTATAGCCCGGCTTCTTTTTATAAGTGTACTCACCTCAGTTGTACTGGCTGGCATTTCTATCTCTTTTAAAGTATTTTCAATCTTTTCAGTTTGACTGGTTTTGAGTATTTCCGCCTTGGCTTCTGTGCTAGGTTGTTTGGTTGTCTTTGGTGAAGAGACGGGACTCTGAGCTTTGGGAACCTCGACTGCCGCTTTTTTGGCTGGACTTGGTTCGTTTTTCTTATCGGCTTCTGGCTTACTTATTAAGTCCTTCTTCGAATCCTTGGAGGACTCCTCAACTAAAGATGCTTTGGGTGGACTCTGTTTGGTTTCCTTCTTTGCTTCTTTGATGGTCTCAACAATTGGCTCAGCTTTGGGTGGACTTGGTTGTACTGGATTCTGCTTAACATCAGTCTTCTTTACCTCTTCGAAAGAGCCACAATTACTATTAAATATCTTATCTATGTCCTCATCTGAGATGCGTAATTTGTTGGTGTCATCGCTGGTGCCACGAGGAGAAACCACATCCACAATGGGTACACGGCGCATAGCCTTCTTAGAGCGCTTGTAAACAGGCTTATCGAATGGCAAGATGTCGATCACACCAGGACGATCGGGTGTGAAGTTTGGCCCGCTTTTGGTAGCTGTATGTTAGTTAACATTAGAAATTAGGTAAGTTTAAAATTAACAACCATTTAATTTTATAAAATAGCAAATAAGCAATGGCTTAACCATGTTTACCATTCTTGCGCAGTCGTTCGTTGATCCTGGCCAGGCTCTTCTTGGCTTCGATGTTCTTGGGCTCGATGGCCAGCACAGTGGTGCAATCCTTGAGGGCTTCCATGTTGTTGCCAAGGGATTCGTTGGCCTGCATTCGCCGGTAGTAGGCTTTCACGCAGAGTTTGTCAAGCGCAATGGCGGTCTCGCAATCGTCAACGCAGAGTTCGAAACTGCAAGGACACAAACGATTTAGTTAGGAAGGTTCTAGAATGTTCTGCGCAGACCTACCGGTCCTGCTTCAAGTAGCACAAGGCCCTGTTTATGTAGTATATTGGATCGTGCGGATAAACGGCAATGGCCGTAGAGTAGGCGATGATGGCCTTTTCGTACTCCGCCTGCTTAACATAGGTGTTACCGCGATCCTTCATGTCGTTGGCCTTCTTGTGCTGCTGGGCCACAGGATCCACGGGCAGATCTTGCTTCTCCGTCGGCGTGCTGGCCGCAGAGGATGAGGGGCTGTCCCTCTGGGGCTTCTCAGACTTAACATGACTGCGCACCGGTAGATCCTGCAGGGAAAGGATGGTTTTTCTCAGGTTTAACATGCGATTTAAAGCCCTTACCTTATTGGCGGCAGATGACTTTGGCGCTTTCTGGAGCTCCTTCTCCTTGTTCTTGATATCCTGCTCCCACGAATACAGGTCCTTCACGGAGTTCTCATACTCCTTTGCATTCTGGCGCACCTGGCGCTGCAATTCGAATGCCTTTTCTTGCCCACTCATGCTGGTTTCTTTGTCAATTGGCCAAACGAAATATTAAAATCCACTAGTTCCAAACAAATAAATTATCGAAGACCAAGCCGTGCCGATTCCTCATATAAACCTATCGATAAGCACCTCATAGAAATGCGAAACTAGCCATTTTTAGCGATTTCGAAAACGGACTAAAAAATAATAATAAATATCAATTATAAATAAAAATTAAAAACAATAAAAAAAACATATCATGGGACATGTTCCGGGCAGCCGTATTCCGCCAGCCCCGTGCCACTTCGAGGAATTCCTCCCCGTACTCTGGAAAGGCAAGAAAGTTAAAAGCTGTGCTTTATGAATAATAATACGTCACCTCCACGGCCCATCAAATCCTTTCCAGTACAGCAGGAACTTATCATCAAAGATCAAACCGGGTAGCCCGTTCCTGGCGGCCACAGAGGAAGTGCAGCGCCACTTGGACAATTCTGACAATTTATGTTAGTTTTATGTTAATTATTTAATTTGTATACCATACCCTGTTCCTCGCATATTGCCCGGCCCTCTTCCATTCGCAAACGTCCCTAAACAACCACCTGGACACCGGGGTCCAGAGGAACAACATATTTGATTGCCCCCCTGCAAGTTTGTGTTCACCACCCACAGGCAATCCAATAACCATGTTGTGGCGTTGCACGATGCGATAGAAATTAAAAACTCATACATCTGTAACATCAATCACTACATTTATTAAATATCTAATAAAATATCTTTATTTCAAGGGTTGCTTCAGAACTAGGGCATTTGAGTACAGCGCACTCATGGGTCATATTACAGCTAAACACAAAGTATAAATAATAAAAAATATTAACAGTATTTCATTTTTTGCTTTACTCATTAAATAATTTGGCTATCTCGGTACCCCTAGATGTGTTGAGCAGGGCAAGGGTTTTTGGGAAAATCACCCGATCAAAGTGTTCGCATCGAGCGGACATCGGGAAACGAACTCATCGACTCCGCTAGTGGCGAAAAATCTTCATGGAGCAGCCGTCCGAAATGAAAAAAAACCACCATGTACTGCAGCATGTTGCCGTGTTCCAATCTCTACATCACCGTGTTGAAGTGGTAAAATGCTTGTGATGGTAAACAGCTTAAAATTTGAAACTTTAGTTCTACTACTTTTGGAAAAATGCGGGAATTCGGCGGGAAAACAGCTATAAAAAGCTAAATTTCGTACACCCGTAACTAAACCCGTACTAAAAATACATGCTACAATCTACTAAATACGAATGCACTTTCTAAATTTTTTACATTCGGCGCGCTTCAATTCAATTAGCTGACCATTTTTATAAATCGGATAGATTGAGAAAAATATAGAATGTGTATCAGAACTTTTTGTTGGATGAAGATTCGATCGTCACTAGATTTGTACCTCGTTAAGAGGTGTTTCAATAGGGTTTGATTTTGCCGAGGTTAATTCATAACTTACTTTAAAAAACGGCTTTTTATTAATCTTTTTAACGCCCCACACTGTAATGCAATTTAGATGATCCCCAATCTGTCCGTGCATATTGGCACATTCTCAATGAACGGAGCCGTATGTAATTTTAAAAATCCTAGGTTGATATACTATTAGGCGATTTTCCCAAAACCTGTGGGTTTGATTTTATTGAAACTTTCTGAAAAGAAGCTTGAATAGCCTGGCTTAGCGCGCATATTGGCACATTCTCTGTGAGGGTAGCATTTAACAAATCTGTGGGTACACGATTTTTTAAATCCATTTTTGAAACATTGATAGACAGATTAATAGACATTAATTAAACCTACCTACCTTTCTAAAAATTTGCATTTTAGATGTTTCGTTTTGGTCCCCAAATAGCGAGCAAACTTAAAAAAGAGCCCTCATGTTCCACATGCCACCATTCCACCTTTGTTGACGGACATAGACCTGCCAATCTATTTTAACGGCCAGTGTTGCCAGACTGACTGGGAGTTAAAAAGCCCAGAATCGAATCAGCTGTTTTGTGTTATCATAAATTTGTTTTGATAAACTTCGGTTCAAAATTATGGTTTTAGTCTACACAAATTATTAGTTTACAATGCTGAGGCTGTGTCTCCCTTCGCGAGCTGGTGTTTCAGGTTCCGGTTCCTTTGGGCGTAAGTAAGGACTCGCCGTTTATAGTGTTGTTATATAAAGTAAATATTTGCCCACTGCGTAGTTTTTCCCAAGAGAAATTCAAAAAACCGGAAACGCACTATGAAGTTTTGAATGTACGCAACGATTGCAGCACTCGAGAAGTTCGCAATGCCTTCGTTCAGCTCTCCAAGTTGGTGGGTACTTTAAGGATCACCCAAAGCATTAGTTAAAGCCACCCTTTCTTTCAGTATCATCCAGATGTTAAGAGCAATGCTGTGAGTCCCGAGAGAACGGCGCGATTTGTTCAGATTTCCGAGGCCTACAAAACCCTGATAAAGCCGCAGAGGCGCCGGGACTACGATGACAGCCTGCTGTGGCAGCCACCTCGCTCGGATCGCAGTCCCGTGGGCGAAACAGTCAATCCCGGCCAGGCGTGGGATGTGAGACCCAACTATGATCCCAACCCAGGACCGTACTATGGCATTCGCGGTCTCAAGAGGGTCTCCAACTGGCAGGTGGCCTTAGTTCTATTGGCCCTGGGCGTTTTTGGTGCCGTTTTCGGCTTTACCTCAGTCAGGTGAGTGTTCAGCTCAAGCATTTCTACTGGAAAAAGCACTAAAAACCAACCGAAACAGGACCTCCTTTCAACTGAGTCGCCAGATCCAGGACGAAATCTCAGCAGAAGCGAATTCCCACCATGCTGCCGTTGTGGCCGACGCCCAGAAGTACGGCAACGAGGAACAAGTGCGTCGCATGGTGGACCGCATGTCCAGGAGTCCTTTCAACCAATCATCGGCTAAATAACCCATCTCCACTTTTCTTTTGGTCAAATTAAACGTGAAAGCAGACGGATATGTATATTTGATGCTTTTGTTTTGGTTCAAGGCAAAGCAAACGACAATGTGTTTTGCCAAGCTTAAACAATCTTACCGGCCTTCGCAGGCGATTTGCAAACTGTGCAAATAAACTGGGCGACTACTTAAGCACTCCCGGCAGCATCCATAGAAGCATATTCCCAGCAATCTTACTGCCAACATGAAGTCAATTACTCAAATCGTAGGCGTCTGTGTCGTGGTCCTCGTTTTCTGCTGCCTGCATTTTTCGGAAGCCGCAAATACCACTTCTAGTGCTTCTGGTTCTAGTAGTGACTACTCTGACTCAAGTGACACCCCCAAGAATGTGTACGTTTCCGACCTTACCTATTCGGTTAAAAGGACAATCCGTGTGGCCACCACGACCGCCAGCAGCACCAGTTCCCGGAGCTCCAAGACCAAGGGCAACAGGAAACTGAATGCCAAGAAGACGCAGGCCAAGGGGAGAAAGGCCAAACGTGGCCAGGCCAATCGCTCCAGCAACAGGAAGTCGAACACCCGGCGGTTCAGGCGGTAAACTTGTTATCCAATCGTTTTTAAAGACATTGTTTTATTTTGAGCTCGTTCTAAACACAAAACACTTAAGTTTACCGTCGCAACGCGCGAATTAAATTAGATAAATACGTAACTTGTACTGTTTGTTTATGCTACTCTGAATCGAAAGTGGAGACACTACCGGGAACCCGCCACCGAACTACAAACTAAAGAATCACATAGTACAAAATCCAAATTCAGATCATCTACAGCTTCGTCTGCACCGCCTTCGCGGGGCCCACTTCTTTGGCCATCACCTGGATGCCGACATGCGGAGCCGCCGGCTTGAAGACCACCTCCCCATGTGGCTTGTAATCGGCAAACTGCATGCTGAACACTTCGTGGAAGCCCAGCTTTTCCATCACCCGGGCGGAATAGTGGCTGGAGCAGAGCACGTGGTACACATTGATGCCATTCTCCCTCATGTACTCGTAGGCACGCTCCGTCAGTCGACCGGCGATGCCCAAGCCCCGGTAATTGGTGTCCACCGACAGGATCTTGCCGTCCAGGATCAGCTCCTCGTCCGGATAAACGTCGAAGATGTTGAACTTCTCCTCTACATGGTCCATCATCGAGAGGATCTTCTTGAATTTGGGATGATCGCAGGAATCGGCTGCCTTGACGGGCACATCATCGGGGGACTATTTAAGAAATAACAAGAGTTAGTTATGCTAAAGGTCAGTATGAATGCATAGCAACAATAATTACCGGACGTCTTAGCAGTCCATTTAGGAAAAGACCTATGATCTCGCCCTTCTTGTTGACCGCCTTATATGAGCAATTATCGGGCAGGGACTTCAGAGAGTACTTCTCCAGTTCCTTGCACTCTCCAAGATCAAGAAAGGTATTAAGAGGTTCATCCTGTAAAGGAAAAGTATATGAAATATTGGAGGAGATTTCTACCCATTTAAAAACCCAATTGATCATCAATCTGAGGATCTTTCAGCTAAACAAATTACCCTCGCGATTACGCGACACGATCGTGGAATTGATCAGCAATTCAAATGATTTATGCACGCATTTGCTTTAGCGAGACTTTTCTAATAATTTATAGAGACAATTTGAGAATTGCGAACGGAACTCGATTTGCATATTGCCTTATAGCCGGAGGGCGGCGTTGGCAATCGGGGCGTGGCATGCATATTAATTTGAGCTGGCTTTTTATTTTAAATATAGGTCTTGATTGTCCAATAGGTCTTTGGTCTGTGCAGGGGGAGCATTCTCATTGGCCGACTTGAACTAGAACTACTTAGAACCTGATCAAGCCAAGATCAACCGAGCACCGAGTATATTGGTTTCAGATCGTCAAGAGTCGTGATGCGAGACCAGCTGAAAGTTAGCCGTGACATGGATCATGTCAAAAGGCCTCACGACAGCCGAATACTTTGCTCCGATTCTACATGAACCCAAAAAACAAATCCCGGGGACTGGGCGGGAAAAATCCCCCGAGATTAGTCAACGCGTAAGTTAATTAATACAACTTTTAGTGTGCGACTTTCGAACTGAATTAAGCCCTAATTAATACGATCAAAGGGGCACGTGGTGGTGCTAATTGAAATTCATTGGAACATTATTTAAATTCAACTTTGTGCTGGGCTTTTGTTTGCAATTATTTGGCAGACATAATATAATGGAATATATAAATTCAAGACTGCCCAATCGAAAACTCAGGTGTTCGGCTTGATTAACTCCTGAGATATGCAATCGAATCTCAACTTTCTTGATGATTACAATACAATATAAAATGTGGGAAAACGGGAATCGTACTTACCTTGAAAAAAAAGGTCTTGAGCATGGCTATCACCGCCTCGGCATCCTCGGCTTGGATCAGTTCGATGGTATAGGGGCAGTCCTTATCAACGGGGCCCGAGGCGGATGCCTTCCCAGAAACACTTAGGGCGTCCTCCATTTTCTGTGTCAGCCGGGCAATCGGATATAAGTCGTTCAGCTGCAAATGCCGGAGCAGACAAAACAAATCGCTTAGATATTATGGCTGGGTTTGGGTTAGAGGTAGAGGAAAGACGAACGGCGGCGTATAGAAAACATTATTATTTATGGCTCTTAGATGAAAGGCATTTTAATTTGTTTTGTATATTTTGTAGCACATGGATGACGATCCGGGGCGACGCCATCCCCGTGCATTTTCATTTTCACTTCCATTTTCCACCGACTATATTTTTCAAATTTTGTTTTTCATGTACGCCACCGACAGGAGCCATAAATTATAAAACTGAAATTAAGGTCGCAGTCGTAGAACACTCTAAAAACTTTTAGCATCTGACCATGTGAACAAGAGGACTTTGTCGTCATCATGTCGTTAAATGGGATATTTTTCCTGCTCTTTTTTGGTTTATGTAAACATCTTAATCTCGTTTATCTAAACAGCTTTGATATAGATATTTTATAACTTTAAAGAGTTAATCCTGCACTGATTATAAAAAGACTAACACGTTAAAGCACACTCTTGTTTATACCAGATTTTTAAGAAATATTTTGTTAATCATAGTTAGTGACTTATTTGTTCAATGTAAATGAGACCTTTTAACTTAGGTATTCCCTATTCCTTTTCAAGAGTGCTGGATTGGATTGTAAATGCATAGTCGTATATAAAATCACGTTTCATTAACTTATGCCCCATAAATGCCAGCACACTCGCAGACGGACCATAAAATCGATCCAGAAAATATTTGGAAAATTCGCACATGCCAAATTACAAAATTAGCTGCCTTGCCTTTGGCCTTTGAGTTTTGTTTACCTCCACTTAAGAGTTGAACCGAGACCTCCATTATCTATTATTGGATGCCCCACTGGTATTAATAGAGCCACCCAAGGAGTGGGCGGAGGTGGGTCAGGGTGATCGCGATCTCGAGTGATCTCGAGTAATCTCTAGCCACACTTACCCCACATCTGGAATCGCGAATAATGCTGGATATCAGCGACTGATCCGGCCGTTTCTGCACTTCCATGTTGACCGGTTTTCGCCTTTCTGGATTTCTATTTTGTTTATTGCAAAATGCTTTCTTTTGTTCTACGTAGACAAACAATTTATGGGCGTCAAGTGGGGGGGGGGATAGGAATCGCAATCGGGGAAAATTAATAGCGAATTTTTCCCTTATTTCGGTTTTTTGTTGGCGCGCACGTTTTGCGATGTTTTGTTTATTTCGCTGCCGACGGATCTCTGTTTGTATTTGGCGCTGTTTGGCTTTTAATTTTACTTTGCTTTGATAAACAGTTGAGTACACAAGCACCACACACAATCCCTGAGACTGGGATTCGAACTCAGAACAAGATTAATGATGAATGAAATTGATTTATGCCACGAAATCCTTTGGTCCTTTTTCACTGAGGAGTTGATTTGCCTGCGAGCAAACAATGAATGCCAGAAATCGGCTTCGTTTGCAGTTTATATAGCCAGCGGATCGTGGCGAGAGTATGTATATGGGATCGGTATCGGATTCGGATTCGGAATCGGTCTTAGCACAGAGCCCCGTACCGCCGGCTGTTTATTCGCGACTGAGAGAAGCGAGAAGCGCTGGATAAAGCCAACCGCCGCCGGTCGACTAAATGGGCTATATAGCAGTCTATTTGCTCATATTTCTCTCTCTCGGGGAGAGAGCAAACGTGACTGGTTTCCACTCCCTGCTTGGAGACCATTCAGCCAGTTTTCAGCCGTTTCCTGGACTTTCCAAGATGGGCCTTTCCCTTCCGCCACTTCCGATATGGAGGGCGTTATGTTCGCGTTCTGCGGTCAGCGGTTCTTGACATTTTCTTCTTTTAAACAAAAATAAATGTGAAAAAGCCACAGGCAAACAGGTTCGAAATTAGTGCACTGATGTTGAGAAGCTTAAGTGTGCTAACTATCAAGGTCAGCTTGGCGGGTTATCAGTTAAAGGAGGAACTATCTCTTAGTCTAGTTAGTCCCCAGGAAAGACTTGGTAAACATAGCTGAATTTAGGCTAGATACTTTCTGAATTTCGGTTATATTTTTAGGGTTTTCAAGTATGAGTAAACCATATTATTTTTTAAGTGGGTGAAAATATATTTATTGTTTTTAAAGATTATTAATTAAATTAATTTTGAATAGCTTTACAAATTATCATAACACTTTTGGAACCTTAACGTTCATCACGGGATAAGATGAATGAGTTTGGAAACGTAAATAAAGTTTATTACTTCAAAGAAATAATATACATATTTTATACTTTATGGATTATTTTTCGCCAATTGATATTTTTATTAGATTGTAGATTTTTCTAACGAGATTTTTATGACGTAGATATAAAAATGCTATAAAAACTAGATAAAGTCTCTAAAATGTAGCTACTGCTGAGAATAACTTCATAAAGTAATTCAACAGGGCTATTATTAACAAGCTTGTGGTCATTTAAATTGTTTATTACTTTCACAAATAACAAATAAATATGTACCACACATGGCGTATTAGGAATATTTAAATGATTATAAAATTACTTTCTCATCATAGACCACAGGGCGTATGAGTGTTGCTACAACTGGGAATGTTTCAATGGCCCTAAAAGCATATTGAGTAAACAAACCGAGTGGCACACCCCCAAAACTATTACCTCAATTAAAACCCACACGGCGTATGCGTACTATTCCGTACGTGAATGATTTTCCTACGGCGGACTGCCCGATCATCCCGTGCCGATTTTATTTACTTTCCGCTCGCAGCTGTCGCTTATTTGATTTTATTTTATTTTCGCCGTGCAAACTGGCAAAACGGAGCGCACGCCGCTGGCTCAATTAATATGCGACAAAAGAAAGAAACACAATGCTATTGTAGAGGTCTCTCCCCACCAAAATCGGGGGATCTTTCCGATCGGCGGGGCATATTTACATTCTTCGCCTTCGGGTTTGTTTAATTTGGCGCGCGCTCTCCGTCCAATTATCACCCAATAATGCGGGGGATCTCTGCAACTCGTTGACGCTTACCCACAAATGATACGGAATTATTTAGGCTATTAACTCCCTCGAGTTCCTA